TACATACTCACTGTGTATCAACATTTGGATTGACTTTGTGCGTATATTACAACTGTATATGTCTTTTCTATGGTTAAGGGTGCTACAGTGGTAGTTTGGATTGGTTCTTATGACATGTAATTTCCACTTTGTTTTTGACCCCTTGCGGGGGGAGGTATTTTGAGACAGGGTCTCACTGTGCAGTCCCCGCTGGCCTTGAACTCACTATGGAGCCCACTTGTCCTCAAACTCCTAGCACTCTTCCTGCCTCAGCCCCCCAAACATTGTTGCTGAATTTTTGCTATTGCCAAGGAGCACAATTGTTACTATTCATTGGTTTTCACTGTATGCCTAAATCTGGTTTGTCTTTGTGTCCTCAAATACACGTGAGACTTCTGGGAAGATGGCAGAGTGATAAACAGCAACAAATTAACCTCTCCAAGATTTGGAATCCAGACCCTGGAAAATAACAACTTGAAGAACAAAAGGAGGGAAGAGGACCCCTGGGAGCCAGGAAGGAGCTGAAGGGCAAACTGGAGCCCACAGAAGTGAATGAACAGACCACAATGCAGAAAAAGGAGGTGGTGAAGTGCATTTTCTCCCCAGCTCCCAGCAGGAGAGAGGAGGATTAAATCTGCTGAGACATTGAGGGTGGCTGACTTGAGGCCTCCAGGGAGAAACACACAAGTGGGACAGAGCAGAGGATGCTGTGCGCCACAACAGCTGGTGAGCGACTCCAGTCCAAGCCACTGCTGTGCCCCCGGGAGAGGGTGCTCCCCGTCGGGACTGTTTTAGGGAGGGGACAGCCGAGCACAGGACTTGGAGCAGCGGTGGGCTGACTTCATCTCAGGGCTCCTCATGTAGATATCCCACAGTTACTGGGTGAGGGACAACGGAGATGTTCAGGGTCAAGGAGGTGAGGTCAAGCTGGCAAAAGACACCAAGAGTGTTGTAGGCTGAACAACTCAGGCCCCAACCCCATGACCAGAGGCCAGGATCAGCCTGAAATTCTGTGGAGTTGAAAGGCCCAGAGCCAGGACCTGCCCTATTCCCACGGCAGCTGTGCCAGGATTGTCCGGCACCCTGCCCTAGTCCCGTGGCAGGAGTGCTGGCCCCATCCAGCTTGGATCTGGGAGGCCTCTCTATTGTCCTCCTGTGTCTACCGGTGACAGTGGAGGCACAGCCTGAATTGGACGCTACCCAAGAACTGCAGGGCCCAGGAGGTAACCACAGGCTGAAAATCACAGCGATCTCTCTCTCTTTGCTCCTTTCCTTTGTGGGGAAAGATGGGGGACAGGCAGGGAAAGGTAAGGGCCTAGGTGAGGTGTCGCAGATCTTGACTGGAGAGAGTTAGGCCTCTGCTAGGGAGAGCAATGAAGAGAAGCAGGGAGAATTGATAAGCAGGTAGTTTGCCTCGAGTTAGGGCCCTAGTTTGCTCTTCTCCACCTCCAGTGAAGCCCAAAGGAGACAGAGTACTGAGGGGGCTGTAGTATAAAAATTCCAGTATGTAACATATACACTGACCTGGACACTCACAGATTCATATACAAAGACGTACATATATTTTCTTAGTCTCTCACCATGTTAACGCAGTACATGTACCCCTTTGTAATTCCTAACTTGGCATTGAATGTGAGGCTCCGCTATGAAGCTCAGCGATATCGCCTTGACAAAACAAAGATGACAAAGGGAGATTACCCAAGATTTTGGACATGGGCAAGAGAGAGGGTCAGTGGCCAAATTAGGGATCTCAGAGCCTAACATAGCCAGTCAGGTTATAATAACTCTCAATAGGGATGTGCTGTTCTTGGCATAAAATAAAATGGGCTAAGATCAAAGACCCTTATGGGCCAGTATTTAGCTCAGTGGCACTGCACCTGCCTTGAAAGCACCAGGTCCTGAGTTTGATCCCCAGTACTGAAAAAGAAAAAAGAAAGAAAGAAAAGACCGTGAGTAATGACTCTGGGCTCCCTACCTGACTCTGACAAGGCCTAGGTCTGTCTCCTCAGTTTTCCTCCTCTTTCCAATACAGTGATTTTGTTTCCCCTCCTAAACTTATATCTCTAACTCTTTATTGGTTTAAAGTTTATGAACCTGTGATAAAATCTACGCGTAACAGATGTGACATCTTGATTGTTTGGTTTTGGTTTTCCATGAGTATGAATGTTTTTAGTTTTTTTGTTATGTTTTGTTCTTGTATTTGTTCTTCCCCTCCTGTTTTCTTATGAAGCTTGGGTAATCTTCCTTTATCTTTCAGACTTGCTTCTAATCACTTTCTCTTCTTTCATTTCTCTATTTTACCCTCCTATCCCTTTAAAATTTTCTCCTCTGAGGGTAAAATCACTCTACCGAGGAGATATCTACTGTGTGTTGTTTTCAGATTTGTTTTAGATTTGGTTATATAACTATAAATCGTGTACCCATGACTTAAGGTGGCAAAAGCAGTTACAACAGTTTGTCATTTCTAGACTGTGCTTGATGCTATCATTACTGCTGATTGCACTACTTTAGCCAGGGTGACATAGTTGCTGTGATCACTATTGTACATCAATACTGATATTGTCTTGGGGCCATGAACAATATCATGGCCCAGAACCAAAGCACTGGGTGCTCGGACAAATAGGCAGCAACTTCTTGTCCTTAATAAATTGAAGAGGCAGGGTCTTGGAACAGGCTCTAAGGCTAAAATTAGCGGGTTAAACCTAGAAGACACCTCTGAGGAGTGGCCCGTTCCTCAGGAGGCCTTGATACTCATAACAAGGCTACCTACCAAAAGCAATTTACAAGCCCCAATGCAGAACACAAATTTGTAAGAAGTGGAAAATGAAGAGACATTGACGCAAGATTTAGCCCCAGACCTCTAGCTCAACCAGGGCAAAGCCAGGGGTCACTCAGGTAGAAGACCTCAAAAGCCACCCAGATTAACCTTCGGAAATGGTAGCAGTAGAAGTAACAAAGCAGATAAATAAGGACCCAGAAAAAATCTGAAATGATTTCACAGATAACTAAAGACATGATGGTCATAATGAAGGACATGGCTACTGAATCTAGAGTACATAAAGATGAAAAAATGTAGAGGGGATTGGGAAAGTGATGGAAACCATGAATGCCCAACATAGGAAAGAATTGGATTCCATGAAACAGATTCAAAGAGATATTCAAGAGATTAAAAATTCTATTGGGAGTATATGCAGCTGAACCCACCAATGTGAAGACAGAATATTAGATCTAAAAGACAGGTTCATAGTTAGCAATCATCAAATTAAGGACTTCCAAAAATAGCAAAGGACCATGAAAAAAATCAATCCAACAGCTGCTAGATGATACAAAGAAGAATAACACAAAACTGATCAGAATCAATGAAAAATCAGAAGCTAGCAAAAAGGGCAGAAAAGAACCTGTTCACAGAAGTAATAGCACAAAATTTATCAAGGGTGGAAAAAGTTTTTAACAACAGGTAAGTAAAGCATACAGAGCTTCAATTAGCCATGATCAGAAAAAAATAAATCAAGGCATATAATAGTTAAGATTACAGAAATTCAACAGAAGATTAGAGTATTAAAAAGCCATTAGAGAATTTCTCATGGTCCCTTACAATTTTGAAGCAATTTTTCTTTTCCTAGTCACTAATTGCAATCTTATCTTCTATATCTGAAATTCTGTCTTCACAATAGCTCATTCTGCTGCATAGACTTTCAATGGAGTTTTTAATCTCCTGGAAATTTGTTTGCATCTGTTTTATGGATTCCATTTGTTTCCTATGTTGGGATTCCATCATATTCCTCAGATACTCTATTTTTTATCTGTATCCTCTCTAGATTTATTAATCATGTCTTGCACCATGAGCAAAATCTTTGCTGTTATCTGAGTAATTATTTCTGATTTCATTTTTCCCAGATCCTCTTCTGTTGCCAGTTCAGAGAGTCCAGGTAGCTGGGTATCAGAGTGTTCCATCTCGTTTCCCTTTGGTGTTGCTGCAGGTGATCCAGAAGTCTGGCTCTGTGGCTTGTTTACCTGCCTTCTCATTTTGATGCCCGGGGGGGGGGGGGGGGGGGGGGGGGGGGTGGGTGTGCCCTGAAGCCTCCTGCTGTCTGGGAGCCCTTATTTCTATAACTCTTACATGCAGTTCTGTAATGTATAACATAACATAAAACTACAGTACTATACTGTACAGTACAATCAGCAAAAATTACAGTGCTTTATAAAAGGTGTACTGAACAAAATAAAGATATCGAGGCTCCACCAACAAGATGTACAGAGCTGTATATAAAGAAAAACTAGTTCATACATAAGTCTGAGCAGTGAATTGTAAGTCTTAACTGTGTGTCTCAGTTGTAAGCCTAAACAGTCATTAAACTGATTACTTGTTAAATGAATATGTGTTACACACCATATTTTCAAATTACTTAGATGAAAATGGTTTTCTTAAGAACACATACTCTCCAGTAACCTCTGAAATACAATACAGCAACAAACAACAAATCATCCCATTAGCTGGGTTGAGGTATTATTGATCCTGCACATGTGAGAAAAAGCAGGGATTCAAATTTTTCAGACAATCCAGGGTATCTTATGATACAGCAGTAATATACAGTTTGCTCATCAATAATCATGATTGCAGAACAGATCCAATCCAGATATGATCTTTATTTTCCATTTTTTTTTTTTTTTTTTTGGTACCCGGGATCAAACTCAGGACCTTGCACTTGCAAGGTGAACACCGGAACCACTGAGCTAAATCCCCGGCCCTCAGATATGATCTTTAGTGAATCAAAAAATCACCTAATCCTATATTTCCTCACATGCCCTCTCCTGGCATCTTAGCCATTTCCAGGAATTCTTCAAGGTTACATTGAACACGTGGTGGTTGATATTGCTAAAAGCTGTGTCTTAAAATGGAATTTTGGTTCTTTAATAAGGGAGCCTCTGCAGGTTATTGCAAGGGATCAATGGAATTCAGATATTACTAACAAGATACCACAGAACCGTGAACCTGCTTGACTCTGTAAAACTCACTGGAAATGGCAAATGTCCTTGACAGTGAAAGTGGCATTAATGGAGCCACCGCTCTGTCCGCCTCTGCGCTGAACACTTTGGAGGATGGAAAGACATGTAAAGTGTGTAGTAAAGGAGCTGACTAGCCGGGGCAAGGGGCAGGGGTAAGGCAAGAATAAGACAAAAAACCATCACAGAGCTAAGAATAGCAGTGACACTTAATTGTTCAATTGTTTCCTGTGCTTCAGAGGTGTATATATAACCCTTGAGAAAATATATAAATTATATCGCTATAATATGCTAGTATGATATGAGACATTTCTACATACCAAAAGGTTTCAAGGATAACATTACTTCTGAAGAGTTTGTTTATATCTGAAAATTTATTTCACCCCAAGTGAATCAAATTTATTATCCTCTGAGGTACTTTTGGAAGCGAACAGTCCTTAGAAATGAACCCAATACAGAGAGTGCAGTGATAAATTTTTCTGACCCTTTGTCACAGCTGTTCTGTCTGTATCATATGTGATTAGTATGTCTCATAAACTCATGTTCCAAATCACTGCCTTCTGCATCAAAACTGGGTAACCACAAATTTTATGAGGTTGATCTTTTTTGTTGCAGTATCCAAACTATAAAAGATAGCTTATTTGTCCCCAGTATTAGACACCATAGAAATAATATATATTTTGAAGACATCTGTCTTTTCATCAATGCTATATTAATTTGCACAGCATGCTTAGTGAGTGCACCTAAAATAGAAGAGGCTGCATGCGTTCTTCGTTCAATGACTGACCCTGTTCCTGCGATTAGGTCACAGAATGAGTGGGGCTAGATGAGGAATTGTGCACAGTATGTACTTTACAATATTCAGAACGAAGATTCAGTCAAAGGAAACTACAGCTTTGTGACTTTGCTCTTATTTGTGTAACTCTTACATGCAGTACTATAATATATATGGGAACATAAAACTACAGTACTGTACTCCAAAGTACAATCAGCAAAAATGAGAGTATTGTATAAACAAGGTGCAGTGAACAGAAAAAGACACTGAGCTCTATCAATATGTGCAGAACTGTACAAAGAAGAGGATGGGTCACAAGTCTGAGTGGTGGGTTATAAGTCAGAAACAAATTGCCTCAATTGTAAATCCAAACAGTCATTAAAACAGACAGGTTGTTGAAGGAGGAATATCTGTATTGGCTTCAGTGTTCCTGTCTAGGATGTTCTTGAGTATTTTCTGAAGTACTGCTTTAGCAGCCATATGTCTCTTGAGTTGGTTGTTTTCATGAAGTGTCCTTACTTCTTCACGTATTTGAAAGACAGCTTTACTGGGTAAGTTAAACTAGATTGGAAGTTATTCACTCCAGGACTTGAAATACACCACTCCAAGTTCTTCTGGCATTTAAGGTTTGTGTTAAGAAGTCTATTGTAATTGCAATTGGGTTACCTTTATTGGCAATTTTTTGTTTTTCTTTGCTTTAAATTTTTGTTGGGGTTTTTGGATATCTGGCAGTGTAAGAAGGATATGCCTTGGTGAGCTTTTTTTCACCATAGTTTTTGGTGTTTTCTAAGCCTCATTTACTTCTAATATTTTTTTGTCTTTAGATATTGATTGCCAGTAAATTCTGCCTTACAGAGTGGTCAAATAGGAGCAGATGAAGAAATTGATGACTTCAAAGGAAGGCTAGCTGAAGTAGAAGAAATAATAGCAGAAAAAGAGGCCAAAACCCAAGCTATTCTTTTAGAGATGGTAAGACAATTATCTTTGTTCAAATACTTGTTTTGTAGTATATTTAACACAATTTATCTATTTTTGGCTCTTGTCTTAAAACAGCAAAAATTTAATGAAGAGTTATTTTCTGGATTAAATTTCATAGGCATAATAACACATGAGAGTAAACTTGGTGCCATTTTTAAAAATGGAGAGTGGATACCTAATTCATAAGTATTAATTTCAGTTGTTAAATAGTCACATGATTAGATTGAATATATCATGGTGCCACTCAAATACTGAGGTTAAATGGAAGAATAGGGGTTGAGATGTAGCTCAGTGACAGAGCGCTCAGCTTGTGTAAGGACCTGTGTTAAATCCCTAGCTCCACTGAATAAAAAGTACATCTATACCTAGAGGAATAGTGGTTAAAGAAGAGAATAAATCCAGGTGGAAACTGAGCCCTCTACCATATACTTTCTCTATATTACTAATAGTATGGAGTCATTTGGGGAATAATCATTGTGATCTATTTTAAAATTTATATATCGTTGACTTCTATTTTTAACTTTTTTCTCATCTTTGGGAATTTTTCTACTATGATTTTATAAACATATTAATTCCATCTATGTTATCTTCTAGCTTTTCCCTAATTCCAGTTAGCCTTAGGTTGGTGGTCTTAGTGTTGTCTAGTAGCTGCTGGATGGTCTTTCCTTCTCTTTTCTTTTTTTTTTTGGTACTGGGGATCAAACTCAGGTCCTTCTGCTTGTGAGGCAGGGGCCAGAACCACTGAGCTACATCCCCGGCCCTCTTTCTCTTTTCTTTTGTGGTCATTTGCCACAGTGTGTTTCTGCACATTGCAAAATATCTTTCCGCATGATTAAGCATTAGTCCTCAATTTCAGACTGGCTGGTCTGTGCTGGGGCTCTCCCTGGGCTGGGCACATGGGCCACTGTGTGTGGCTGGGAGGTGCACAGTCCCATTGTCCTCCCTGGGCTGGGTGCACAGCCCTATTCTGTGGCCAGGGCCATGGCATTCTGGTGGTTGGTCCATCTCCACATTTTCCCCTCTCTTACACCTTAGAAATTTTTATATATCAGTGACAGCTAAGCATTTGATGTCAGTGAGCTATAAGCTAATATGTCTTCCTTAATGTAATTCTATTGTTAGACATTCTCCAATGACTACTATAATACTTTCATTAGCATTTCAAATTATCATTCATGAATTTTACTTTGTTTGATTACAGTTTTGTCTATGAAACCAGTTTAAAGTTTCACAATGCTGTCAAAATACAATCAGAGAAGGAAAGGATCTAGTTTTTTAAATAATAATTTGAAAATGAATATATTTTCTATATTCTTTTAGAACAAGTCATTAGATATTCATCTACCCCAGTTTTTTTTAGCCCCACATCTGATATACTAGGCCCTCTCCAGACAGTGTAGGAATAAAATGGGTTAACCAGCAGGAGAAGCAGTATTCCCATTCTGCTGTTTCTTTAGCAGTGGATTCCCATCTCGCATCAAAGTCCTGTGTGACAAGAGCATGGGGGTGAAGGGTAAGTGTTTGATGACCAAGGCATGAAGTAGCTACTTGTGGGACTCAGCCTCATTTCAACTGTTTATGAGTAGATCTGAGATATTTCGTGTTGTGAGTCTCACTCTTCTTCCTGGAAATATACTTCTGCTGATTGAGGAGGCAGTGACCTTTGAGGATGTGGCTGTGGACTTCACCATGGAGGAGTGGGCTTTGTTGGATCCATCCCAGAAGAAGCTCCACGGAGATGTGATGTGGGAGAACTTTAGGAATGTGACTGCTGTAGGTAAGAAGCAAGATAGCATTTCTCATGTATGCAATCAGGGAGCATTGCTTATTGTTCGTTCAGCAATGCAGTTTACTTTACTGAATTATGAAAATATTTTGCTGAATCTTCTGGGCATGGTCACACTAGACCATGAATCTAACTGGAAGGTAATAATTTTTATGTAATGTAGTAACTCATTGTTACATTTCTTCTTCTACACCTTAGGAAGAATCTGGGATAACCAGCAAATTGAACATGAGTACACAAATTATGGGAAAAATCTAAGGTAATTTGCACTCATGGGAGTGTTCCTCAAAGATCATAAATATTAAAGCTAAGCAAACTACACAAATAAGGCCATGTTCACAAAAATACAGGCATGAAGGCATATTCCTGTAATATCAGCTCTTGGGTGCCTGAGGCAGAATTGCAAGGAGTTCAAGTTCAACCTGCTACATAGGAAGCTCGAGCCTGACCTGAACTACACAGGGAGACCTTGTTTCAAAAATCAAATGAACAAGCAAAATGAGCCCATGCTCAAATTTCTTTAATTGCACAAAATTTCTCCAAAGATGCACGTGTTTTGTATCTAGAATCTCATAAAATATGTGAAATTTCTCAATATCTGACATATAGGCAGTACTGATATTATACCACATGACATTATGTAATATATGATAGTAAACTATTTTCCATGCTTAAGATTATAAAACTGTTATTTGAAATTGAATGTAGGCATTGATTAAAGGTATATATTAAAAAGTTTGTGTTTAGTTGAGAGCCAAGTTCAATATTTCTAATTACATATATATATTTTTTCAAAAGATTGTTTTTTATCAAATAAATTATGTAAGTAATGCTGTATGTATTTAAATGTGGTATACACATGAAATATTTGCAACATTGGAAACCTTGAGGAACTACTCAAAATCGAAATGAATATTTTTTTAACAATACCTATTTTCAAGCAATCCTCAAAAGCATTTAGTCTATTTATGTTCTGAAATACAGTATTAGAAGGCACCTTCCCATACTTACTATGGAAATGTTTTCCTGAAAAAATTAAAAATAAAAATTTCATTTGATCCAGCTATACTTTACTGAGGTTATTCCCCTAAAGTTAAGAATACACTGATACATTCATAACCATGTATGTAGTAGTAAAACTTACAAAAGTGAAGGTCTGGAAAGAGCCCAGAGGCCCATTCACAGAGCAGTAGAAAGGAAAAATGGGACAGCCTGGGAAGAATGGAGCATGCTAGGAAGTTGAGGGACATCATGCTCAGTGTGGGCAATTCATTGATTGATGAGACTCAGTCTCATAGTAAAGAATAAATAACTCTGAGAAGGTACCCTGGGTTTAGCCTCTAGCACTGAAAATAATGTGGAGTGTACATATAAGGGAATGATATTCAGCCATAAGGGAGAATGCAATGATGTCATTTTCCCAAAAATGAACGGATCTGGAACCCATATTATATTAAATAAGATAGACACAGAAAGTACAATATTACACGTTCTATTTTGTATGGGGAATGCAGGATATGAATTCAGAAGTAAAATAAAGAAGAGATGGTAGAAAAAGAGAGAGATATTTTGGCAAGAGTGGAGAGGCTCAGCGGAAGGAGGAGGGGTAGAGTCATGGGGGAAAAGGGTATGGAAAATAATCAGCATATGGTATACATAGGTACCAACTGTTCACAATGAAAGTCACTTGCATGTGTTCCAAACTCCCAAATGAATACTATCTTGGTACAAGCTCTTTCCAGGCCACCATCCAGAGTGTACAGTAAATTCATGATCAAACTTGCTTAGGAGGCATCAAATCAGGTCTCCTCCTGGTAAACATTAATATAAAGAGACTTTTAAATGTGACTGGTTGTTTTGTTATTTTTTTTTCTTTGACAGGGCTGCTGAGGTAGATAAATGCTGTCAAGACAAATTATGGTATGAACATGGAGAAATGGTTTTTTTGACTCCTGATACAAATGTGCACATGAAACTGCTTGGTGCAAAAGCAGATGAAAGCCTTGCATGTGGAAGCCCTCGGATTAGTCATTCCCCACCACCATGCCCTCATATATAACAGTGGGCTCAAGTCATATGAGCTCTATGGATCTGAACAGAAGCTTACTGAGTGGACCAGACATGGGGAAACCTCCACTGACTTGCAGTCCTTTCAGAAACACGCAAAGGCAAATCCTGAAGAAAAACCCAATGGGTATAATCAGTGTGGAAAATCCTACTCTGATTGCACTGAAGGAAGTAATGCTAAAGAGAAATCCTTTGTTTATAAGCAAGATGTGAGAGCCTTCAGTACACCTCACAATGTGGAAAAGGTTTGAATTCTCAACATGATAACCAGAAACATGAAAGTGCTCACAGTGGGACAGAATCATATGTATATAAACACAGTTGGAAATCCTTAAATAATAGTACTTCATTGGCTAATCATGACAAAACTCACATTGGGGGAAAACCCTATGTATGTAAGCAGTGTGGGAAAGCTTTCAGCCCACAGAGTGGTTGTCAAAGACATGAACAAACTCACACTGGAGAGAAACCCTATGAATGTAAGTAGTGTGGGAAAACTTTCAGAACAAACAGTAATTGTAAAATACATGAATGAACTCACACTAGGGAGAAGCCCTATATATGTAAGCAATGTGGCAAAACTTTCAGGACACAGAGGCATCATAAAATACATGAAAGAATTCATACTGGTGAAAAACCCTGTGTATGCAAGCATTGTGGGAAAGCTTTCATAGCACAGAGGCAGTGTAAAAAACATGAAATGACTCATACTGGGGAGAAACCTTATGTATGTAACCAATATGGGAAAGCTTTCAGTTGGCACTGTATATATAAAATACATGAAAAAACTCACACTGGGGAAAAACCCTATGCAGGTAAGCAACGTGTGAAAACTTTCACCCTGAAGAATTATTGTCAAAGCCATGAAAAAACTCACACTGGGGGGAAACTCTATGCATGTAAGCAATGTGGGAAAGCTTTTACCAGACACAGTCATTGTCGAAGACATGAACGGACTCACACTGGGGAGAAACCTTATGTATGTAACCACTGTGGGAAAGCTTTCAGCCGGCACAGTTCTTGTCAAATACATGAACAAAATCACACTGGGGAGAAACCCTATGCATGTAAGCAATGTGGGAAAGCTTTCACCCTGCAGAGTTATTGTCAAAGACACGAAAAAACTCACACCGGGGAGAAACCCTATGCTTGTAAGCAATGTGGGAAAGCTTTTACCAGACACAGTCATTGTCAAAGACATGAAAGGACTTGCACTGGGGAGAAACCCTATTTATGTAAACAATGTGGGAAAACTTTTAGGACACAGAGTAATTGTAAAAAGCATGAGGGGACTCACACTGGGGAAAAACCCTGTCCATGTAAGTAATGGGGGAAAGCCTTTACCAGACACACTTGTCAAAAACACGAAAGGACACAAACTGGGAACAAACCCTGTGTATGAAAACAATGTTGGAAAACTTTCAGCACACAGAAGGGTTGTCAAGGCATGAAAGAAATCACAGTAGAAACCCTGTGTGTGTAAGTAATATGGAAAAGCCTTTTAGCTACTGTAGTAATCAACATAGAGATTAAAAAATTAAGAGAGGAAATTAATTTTGAATATATAAAGTGACTGGCACTGACATGAAGGGACAATACAATTCTATACAATATAATAAAATCTTTCAGTACACAGGTATTATTACATACCTGAAATAATGGATAGAACATAGAATCTGAACATATGTGAGCAATGTAGGAAATGTTTTATTTTTCTCAGTGCATTGAGGTCCATGAAAGAAGTCACATGATAGGGAAGCCATATGTATGCAATAAATATAGGAAACCTTTCCACTTTTCCATTTAACTTAAAAAATGTGAAAGAACTTCGACTGAAGAGAGAGCCTAAGAAAATAATGTGTGAAAACTTTTTATGATTCTCATACCATCAGAAAACATGCACAATCTCAAAATGAGATGTAGTATAAATACCAAATGTGAGAAAGCTAATAATGAGAGTGACAGAGACAGGTGTGTTAGGGTTCAGATAGACTGTTTCAAAGCGCATGTGCAGAGATGGTCTTCCTCCAGTTTATCTTTGGATTAATGCACAGATGAGGCTGGAAAGTTCATAGTAATGTTACATGCAGAATAACAAAGCACCTAGAAGCCAAGTCTTCAGTGCATCGCTTTAAGGGAATTTTTTTTTTTGGTACCAGGGATTGAACATGAGACCTTGCACCTGCAAGGCAGGTGGCGGAACCACTGAGCTAAATCCCTGGCCCAAGGGACATTTTTTTATGCAAACCATTGCCTTAGTTGTATAGGTAAAGTTGTTTATTCATGCAATGAAATTTTATTTAGCCTGAAAGGAGCTTCATACGTGACATTGTAGATTAATCAAGAGCTCATATGCCACTCATATAAAAATTAAAGCCCAATCATACTTGTTTTCAACATCTTAAATTGACAATTTTAAAGAAGCAGAGGGTTTAGTGACAGTTGCCATGTGTGTGGGTGGGGAAGTTGAGAGATGTTAATGAGAAGCACAATGTTTCTCTTGAAGAACACAAAATGGCATAGACCCTATAGTGACTGCAGTGATTAATGCAGTCCCAAGTAGAATTACAATTTGGTAAAGGTTGTTTTAATATTTCTTCATATATCCAAAAGATAATTGTGTTAGATGATGCAAATGCTACCTATAATATAAACAGCGATAAATTGCATTGTACACTTTCAGTATATGATTTTGTCATTTTTGTTTTATGAAATGAACACAATTAAATGTAAAAATAACATGGATATGGTTTCATGATGTGTGCACAGATTATCCTTTCTTAAAGTTTTGCAAATATAATTAAGTTTGTAATGTATTTCTGAAAGCATTCAGTATCTTAGTGCAGCTTGGTTTGTTGGAAATGTAGATTTGGGGATACAATTAGGAAACAGTTTGCATTACCACAGATTCATTTCATTTTCTAAAAAGTTGTTATATATGCATCAGAAAACTGTCTACATTTTAAAAAGCACATAAGCTTGTTTGTTTTAAATCACTTAACATTATGATTTCAAGGTGTGTGCATTTTCCTGCAAATGTCTCCGGTTTATTTTTCTTTGTAGCCTAGGAGTATTCCACTATGTGTGGGTACCACATTTTCTTCATTCTTCTGTTAATGAACATATAAAAGGAAACAGAGATAGCATTTGGTAAATAGGAATGGGATTAGGAGGCCAAGAATGGTAAGAAGGGGACATAAAAAGATGTCACCTTCACCTTGAGAATTAGGTTCTAAAACATGTATTTGGGGGTAACTAAACATTCAGAGCACAGAAACCATTATATGAGGTGATACTGTGTGTTGAGCAGTGTAGTGCATTGAATGAGGCTTCATGTGACCACCAGGTGATATGCTGATAAACAATACACATTACAAGTATTTTGAGGACAGAAACTGAAGCGATCTTTTTCAATTAGAATTTAGAAGAAATAATGCAACTGTAGATGTCATGAACTGAATTAGGCACAAAGTATTCCTGAAGGAGAGACAAGTTTGGTCACTACCTATTTTGAGATCCCCAAAATAAATACTAAAAGGGCTGGGAATTTAGCTCAGTGGTTCTGCTGCCTGCCTCGCAAGTGCAAGGTCCCGAGTACCAAAGATAAATAAATAAATATTAAAAGTGAATGACAGGGATTTTTCCCAGGCTCATAAAATAATTTCCCATATTATCAGTGCCTGCTGCTTCTTGAGAAGATTAAGCTCTTACAAGCATAGCTGAAAATTGTTACAGATGACAGAAAAAGAATGTTGAAGATGCAGTTTCTGAGGTCATCCGAGGATCACAATAGAGTCTGCACTCTGATGGCAAGTTTTAATTGCTCAAATTCAGGGCAGTGAAATATATTTCTAAGTGCAATTCATTCCCCTGCTTGCCACTTCTTTCTCCAAAAGGACAGGTGACTCAGCATGGTCACATCTCATCACTTAGCTAAAATACCTGACTTCTATCAAAGCTACTCTATTAACTACTCTACCAATGAGTTCTACTTGTCATTTCCCACTTCCCCCTACCACCTCAGGGATTAATATACTAATATCTTCATTAGCTTTTTTCCTCTTTCAAAATGAAAACATCCTATTAGATTTTTTTTTTTTGGTACCAGGGATCGAACTCAGGTCCTTGAGCTTGCAAGGCAGGCGGCAGAACCACTGAGTTAAGTCCCCGGCCCTCTCTTAGATTTTTAAGGGGCACATTTGACATCTGTGGTCCTTTTGCATCTTTCAGACTTAGTTTGTGATATGTGTGCTGAAGGCCAGAATCATTTCTTTAGCAAGCATGTCAAAATGTCAAGTCTGCATTCAATGCCCTGTAAACATACACTTAGAAAGTGACTGCATCTGATATGCAATTCTTTGGCCATGCATTACATTTTGAATCTTTTAAAGGACCTTTTGAGGCACAGTTCTAATTCACTCTGATTTTACTGATGGAGCACTGAAAGGTAGAGAAATTTTAAAACATCTCAAGTTCTCATGCTTGGGTTACTGTGCAGAAGGTAACATATATGTGTATACTGCAGTATAGTATTTGATCCCTATAGTGGGCTGTCTACACCTCCTGGGAGATTGAGCTCTTTAATACATCATACCTTCCTAAAGAGTTTCTGTGCACTCAACTTCAACCTGCTCCCAAGTTCGTGCTCCTAAGATGCTGCTTTCTTAACCTTCTGGAATGGGAATAATGGCTTTCTTATTCCAATCCAAAATATGAGCGCTTTTATATGTTATCTGTTCCTATAGCAGAGTGTCACACGTAAGTAAGTAAAAGACTCTATTCTCTGCACATTTTCAGGCTGGAAATTCCAAGAGCATGGCACAGAAACATAGTGAGGTCTTCCGTTCTACACAGCACGGTGTGGAGGGGCAGGTAAGCATGTGTGAGAAAAATAGCAAGGGAAAGCTGCGCTCATGCTAACAATGAGACATTCTCGTGTAGATGATGTCATTGTACTCATCAGGGCAAAGCACTCATATGCTCATCACCTTTTAGTGGACCCTTAGCTCAGCTGTCATCATTAGATATTCAGTTTGCAACATAGGAGTTTCGGGGAACATACTAAATCTCACAGTGGGCTACTGATTAGAAATCTCAGACTTGAGCCAGTTGGAAATCCACAGGACAAGGATGTCTGCAGTTAACCTTGAATTTCCACATTAGTAGAGACTGAAATCTCAGTGGTCAGTGTCCATTTATTGCTTTATTCTCAGTAGATTGCATGGCAGTGTGATCCAATGGGATCCACTCTTTTAGAGTGTGTTACTCTTATTTCCTTAAATGTTTCTCATTGTATCACATGAACATAGCCAACATTCAAAGCAATAATAATGAAAAGAACCAATATAGCCTGGGAATATTCAAAAGGTTTATCTAATGAATGACTGCAAAGCCTTTCGTAGACTGACATGCATCTAGATGGGAATACATGCAATCGATGCTTTGATTACTAAGGCACCTGTACAAAGCCCTTGACAGGTGTAAGCACTCTTGGGAGAAGACTGTTACAGGAAGGCCAGTATCCTGGGGGGCATAACCAGAGAGAAAATGGGTGCAGTCGATTCAGTGCACCTTTCTGTTTTCCTCAGTACTCTTCTCACTGAAGCATTTGGGTGTCATTCTCTCTCCTGCCGCTATTGGGTCTTTCTCTGGCCAAGTGCCGTGGCTCATGAACTGCTCTTCTGTCATCTGGTTTTTCTCTCAGTCTCCATTTATTCTGCAGAGGAGGATCTTTTGTGACCTGACCTGATCTTATCAGGTCCGACATGTACTCGTGTTATTATGGATCCTACTGTGAGATGCCTGGTGTGTGCCCATGTGCTGGTTCAATTGAAATATTAGAAAGCAAAGGGAGGTTCTGGCTCATCTCTGCCTTGTGTGAAAGCTCTCTAGGCTCCCTGCCTAGTGAGGATTGCAGAGTGAATGTTTGATTGCTGTAGAAAGGGTGATAGGAATGGAGGAAAGAGTAGTGAGAAATGGCTTCACCGACAGACCAAAAATATCCAGCGTGTTACCTGGCCTATGTGCAAATGCCTGGATATCTTCCTATACTGAAGGTTTCATGAAGTGGCAATTGACAGGAAGCAAAAATGTCACTTTCCAAATACATGAAGCTGTCTCCAGAGTCATGCTGATGCCCACCATCAAAGAGACTGTGATACACAAACAGGAAGAAAAAGAAAACACAAGATGTTTCCAATCCGAACCGGGGGCCAAGGGAACGGAAAGAACAAGCCTTTAAAACAAAGGGAACGGGCCCCAATAACCCCCCCTTCCGAACCCCAAGTTTTTCTACTTTAGAGTAAGTAAGGGTGCTCAGATGAATACTCTGACCTGTTAGCTGATGTTGGAATCCTCTTTGGCATCTGAAGTGTCTAAGGAACTAGACTCTTGCATCGGAAATACAAGGCCAGGTGTGCTACCCTGGAGTGAAAGTGAAGTTCTTTCTTCAGCTTTCAGTTATCTATGCTTTCTGACAGACAAAGAAGGCTGGGAAAGCTAAAAATGCCTTGATATTGATGACGACGTATACATTCTCCTCCATGCTCGGTTCATTAATTCGGTATCCCATGCCCAGGAAGAGGTTGGTGTGTCTGGAAACTCCAGGGTCCCCCTCTGCCCATCTCCATTTCCCTTCTAAGCAAAGCCTTCAATGGTTCTGCTGTGCAGCCTTTGTGGGACAGAACCATCAATAAGGGCTGAGCTGATAGAAGTCATTTGTTAAGCCATAATTTGCAATTCGTGTAATCTCTTCATAGTTCTGCTGAGGTGAGAAAATATGCATGAGCTACGTTGTGTTTCCTCCAAAACTAGCAGGGCAGTAGAGACCTTCCTGAAACTGTGGGGAATTGGAGCAGACCCCTTCTTTCCCCCTCCAACCGGGGTTCAACTTACATGGTGGCAAAGCCTTTTACCTCGGCTTTTAAAAGCACAAGAGAGAGAATTCTGTCAAACCTTCACCGTCCACACATAGACAGATTTTAAGGGTGTCATCTCCCCACGCTCAGCATACTCATATGCCTTTGCTTCAAACTGTGGTCTTCATTATCAATGGCAGTCCATGATTGCCTGGCAATCTCTGTAGTTCAAAGCATTGCAGGTCAAACGCCACCTGTTCCGTGACCCTAGTCAGTCGCACACTTCCTTCTTCTGTATTTTTATGGCAATTTTCCCTCATTTGTTTTCTATTTGAATCAGCACAGCAATATTTCTTCCCATTTGTTATGAAAATATTGAAGATGCTGATGATAGGTGTCTTCACACAGTGTGGTGATGGTACTTAATACCCAGTGTTTTGATGACTGCTTGGGTGACCTGGGATGTGAAAGAGGACCCATTATTGCTTTGAATACACCTAGGAAGCCCAAATCTTGGGGATCACTTCTTCAAGGAGGACTTTTCCCACCTCCAAGGCCCATTGTAACCTGGCGGGCACGGCTTCTGTCCACCCAGTAAAGACATTAATGCATACGAGGAGGTGATAGTGCCCCTTACATGCACACATATGGGTGCAGTCTGTTTGCCAGACTTCCCCATGGGAGGGCCCATGCCTTTGTGGTGGTTCAGGAAATGTGGAAGACTGAGTCTGGGTATTATGAGGGGCACATACAGGACGTCTCCTTAAGACCTGCATTACAGTGTTATAGAATCCAGGCAGTTCAAAGAGTCTATGTGCTACAGAGGTTGTGGCATGGCACTCTACATTGAAAGCATCACTCTAGGTGGAAATTACTGATTTTCCATTATGCTGTCACAAGAATAGTCAGGGTGTCAAACACCAATATTGGCCCTTCAAAACTACTCCCTCATCATGTGTAGTTCGAGCTCTTCTCTAGAGTATCCTGTCTCTAACCCAAGGCCTGGAATGGAAGCATGGGTAGAGATATGGATGGCCCAGAATTATTTTGGAAAGTGGCAATTTAGCAGTGAAATCTTCCTTAGAAGGTCTCTGGGAGAAAGGGCACAAGAAGGCTTTATATCCCCAGCCATGGACAACTGCCACCGCACTTTGGGTATTTACTTCCTCTGAGAGATTGAGGATCTCTAGTCCTTGTATTTTGGAGACTGGAGACTAGTCAAAATTCCTCCTTTTTTCACATGGCTGCATGTGCATTAGGAATTTAGAAAGAAGAATTTAGAGTCGGTACATATGTAGACTCTGTTGCACTGGGCAAGTTATAGAGCCCAAGTGAGGGTAATGAGCTCTGCCTTTTGGGAAGAAGTCCCTGGGTGTAGTCTTGCTTTTCACTGTCATATCCACTTCTCTCAAACTGAGGCAGCCGGCACAATTCTGGGTGATGTGTTTTCGGACTCATGGTCTATCTATTGCTTATTTGAGGGGAGCGTGGCTGGGCACAACACAGTACAAGACTGAAGAGAGACATCTGGGTTTTCAATAAGAATGGCCTGGTATTTAGTGAGCCTTTCCCCAGTCATCCATAAATGTCCTTTGAGTGCTAACAGAGCCTTAAGGTGGTGTGGGTTAGAACTAAGAGCATTTGTACCTAGGTTGTCTTCGAAGCTTCCTTGACTGACAGTGCCAAAGTGGCTATTGCTTGCAGGCAGCTAGGCCAGCCCTGTGTCACTCCACATAGTCACTCAGAAAGGTAGGCAACTGGTCAGTTTTCCAGGCCCAGATGCTGAATCCCACTCCCAAAACTACTTGTGTTTCTAAACCATGAAGAGACAAAAATGATTAGCTAAGTCTTGGATTCCTAATGCTGGGGCCTTTATTGGGGCCCATTTTAAGGCCTTTAAGTCTTTTTGAGTGGCTGCTGTCCATTTTAAACATTTAGTTTCTGTCCTTCAGTTGCCTAATGTAGGGATTTGCCTATTACTCTGAAGTGGGGTGTCTATATGTGACAGAAGACTGCCCTCCCAAGAAAGCCCTCGGCTGCTGCTGAGCCTGGAGCACCCTGACAGCAAATTGCCACTGTTCCTCTTAGATCCAGGAGCTACAATATCCTAGGAATGTCACCTTTTGTTGAGAAATCTTTCCCTCATTTTGGGATACCTTGTAATCCATTTTTGCTAGAAAATTGAGTTTTAATTGAGTTTTTATCAGATAATCCTTTAGTGGGGCTACAGATGAGGTTATCTGTATTCTATAACCAGCTTCTCTTTTGGAACTTGAAGTTCTGCAGGTCTTGGGGTAAAGCCTGTGCAGACAAGTGAGGTTATCTCCATACCCTGAGGCAAGACACTCAAGTGCACTGCTTTCAAAGTCCTGCGTGGGGATATTCCAGTTCACTGGCAAACAAATAATTAACATTAGGATCCACAGGGTTTGTAAAGAAGGCGTCTTTGAGATCAAGAATAGAGGACTATTTAGTGTCCCCAGGCATCTGTGCTAAAAGAATATATGGGTCTGCTACTAATGGGGGAATAGGAACAACTGTCTCATTGATGGATTATTGTCTGAGTGCGTGTATTGCAGTGGAACTGGCATGGCACTCGTAGTAACCTTGTAATCAAAAAGATCAACGATGGGCCTTCTCTACATTATCCTCTTTCTCAAGGCAGTACTGGCTTTTGTGAGATAGAGTAGGGTCCTGTAGCTGAGTGATGCCTGGAATGGCATCCACAGAACTTTCTGGGGTGCCATCAGCCTATGCTTTCTAATGCACTCATGGTGCGGACACTGATCCCCACGGGGTTAGGCTGCGTAAGTTCCTAGCCACTAGGACATGGGTCGCCAGCATTTTGCATGTCAGAGCGGCCCTGAGTAGGAACAGTGTGTCTCTTCCAATTACCCATATGGGGAATTTTGGTATCACCATAAGCTTGCTTGGAAAAGGAAATCTCCCCAACCCCAGTGCAGAGTGGGGATAAAGAAAGCTGACCAGAACAAGTTTAAAACAGGATGAAGCTCA